ATCTGTGGTGCTGGTGACCTTGGCAGAAGAAAGGCTTAAACCAGGTCAGCCTGGGGGAAGGGGCTGGCTCCTTCCAGGGTCTTCCTCCAGATTAGATGTCAACTTTCCATCTCTTGCTTAAAGTCTCAGTGGCTCTGAATGTGAGGGCAGAAGGAGGAGGATGCTGTCAGGGGAGGGGACACTAATGGCTCCTGACCTGGCCTAGAGATAATCCAGGGCTCCTTCAGCCAGCCCTCCCTCCTCAGTGCCCTGGAAGTGTAGGGAGGGGCCAGTTGGGGATCCCCACAAATTAAATGGGGAATGAGAGGAGTAACTGAAAGTCTCAAATTCAGGCTATAGATGGGACCCCAGCCCTTAGGTTGCTCCCCCACACTCTCCCATCCTACATGAGATGGGCAGTGGAGGGCCAGGACAGCAACTCCAAGCCAGTTTAGGTTTTGGAGGTAGACAGTGAGGAGGCTTGCTTCTGTCCTTTGTTAGTTGAGTGCCCTTGGACAGCTCACTTACTTACTCTCAGCCTCAGTTTCCCCATCTCTAAAATAAGGCTATCAATACCTACCTTCTCTGGCCATTGTCAGGATGAATGAAAGAGCTCTGGAAGTATTTCTGTAATTAGCTGACATCAGAGATTGTTATTCTCCAAGGTGAGAGGCCAGCCTAGATCCCTGGCGGGGACAGTGTCAAGATTCTTTTTCCCTCCTCTGCGGTGCCCGCTCCTTTTCCAGTCTTGCGGCTGGCTCTCATCCTCCTTTCCGCAACCCCCCAATCCTCCTTGGGACCACCTTGGCTGGCCCAGCTTCTCGCAACCTGCCCTATTCCATAGGTGCCCGCATTCTAAAACCTGTAGGGGTGCCCTGCACAGGCGCACGGTTGGTAGAGGTGGGACAGGTGGCGGGGGTCTCCACTGGCCTGCGTCCGCGCCCCCCACCCTGTTTAGGAGTTCCTGTTTGGAGATGGCTCCCCCTGGTCCTCAGCTCGTCTCTGGGCTAAGCAGGGGAGGAGAGAAATAAAAGGTGGGGGGCCTGGAAGGGGGTTCCCACCTTCTCAGTCAGGGACCCGAGAGGGGGACGCAGCCCTGGCGCGCCAACGCTGCACCACCATGGGTCTCCGAGCCGTGCTCGCAGTCGCTGAGATCCTCGGTGCGGAGAAGATGTGCCCCTCGGATCCCCAGGCCGTGACCCCTTTCACCCAGACCCGGCCAATCCCTCGCTCCAGGCGAGCGGGAGAATGCGGTTCTAGGACCCGGAGGCGCAGCCGAGCGCG